AAGTTATGGGGGCCTTTTATTAATTAAATGGAGGGCTTCATAAAATATTCCCAATAAAATTTACGGTTGTCTTAAAACTTTCTAAACACCGCTATAAATTTTTTTAATAAAATTAACCGGGAAATGAGTTACTGGCCGGGATTTTTGTCACTTCAGCTTCTCCGGCAGCGGTGCCGGCGGAGGGGAGGGAAGGCACGCACACACAAAAGGAGCCTTTCAGGGACAAAAGTTGCGGCGGCTGCCAGGTTTACCCCGCGGTGGCACCTCGGGGCAGCCCGGGCGAGGCGAAGCGGAGCCGACCTGAGCCCCTGCCCGGCGGCGCCCTCCTATTTCACCCTACGGTTAGACAATTCCAGCCTAAAATCCCCAGAATCACCCCAGAGCCAGGCAGCACGATAGTGTTGGGGTTGGGCTTTTTTGGTTTGGGGCTTTTTTTGCTCACACGATCTAGGCGCCACAAGTCCATTTGTATTAATTTGGAAGCGCTGCTCCGCTCCGGTGTTCGCAGCGGTACCTGTATTTAGCCCAGCTGCCCGCCGCATTTCTTTACTCCCTGCCTATGCCAAGCCTTCTCCCTTTGCTATTGATACTGCTGTACTTCTCGTTGAATGAAATTATTATTGTTATTATTAATAATAATAATAATAAAATTGCTGGGTAAAACTCTGGCTGCTTAATTAAAGAAAAAAAAAGCTGCTGGACTGTTTTGCATCTGAAGGATTGAGCTGTTGTGCCGTCTACTGGGCGACGGGGAAACTACAGCCAGAAATGCCTTCAAACTTTCTGCGGGAGCAAAGTACAGTTTTCGGCAATTTGGAGGGGCCGGAGGCGCCAAATTTCTCGGTGGTAGAAGAAGAAAAGCGACCCCGGACAGAAAAGCCGTAGACGCAATTATTATTTCCTTCGGCTACACCTGTATAATTGTATAAAAACTCCACTTTCAAATGCTCGGGGTTTTATTGACTGCAGAGCGCGAAGCAATCGGCTGCATTAAGTAAGGGGGGATACGGTAAAGATGGTTTGAGTTTACCCGTGGGAGGCGGTTGGACATTAGCTAAATATGTAGGAGAGGGGGGAAAAAAAAAATAAAAAAAGAAGGGGGTAAATATTTGCGGATGGTTTAAAATCTTCCCCTCCGCCACCAGCCGGCTGCAGCCGTGGGGCAGCGGGAGCGCTCCCAGCCCGGGCAGCTCCCACCCCCGAGGATGCTCTCGGAGGGGAGCAAAGGCAATCCGGTCTGGTGCCTCGATAGCAGCCCCTCTTCGGTGGGGCAGCAGGAGGGGGGTTTGCGCCGGCACAGCGTTAGTCTCGGCTCAGACGAAGCACACACGTTGCCGTTTTGAGTCCCCGAGCCTTTGCCCGTGCCCGAGCCGCGGGGGCTCCCGGGCGGATGCAGGCAAGCCGGGTAATTCCCCTCTCCCCTCTCCCTGCCCGCTTGGCTCTCCCCTCCGGGGCGCCTGGGATGCTCTCCTCCAAAAAACAAAGTTCAAGAAGAGACGCAAAAAAAAATTGGGTTTTTTTTTGTTTTTGTTTAAATAAACCCCCACCTTTAAAAAAAAAAACAACTTGACTTTTGCGGGACGAGAGGCGCAGAGGGGCTGCGAAATGCAAAGCCTTTGTCGTATTTACAGAGAGTGTCAGCAGCCGACTGTACATTTAGATAAAAATCTAGCAGCCTACGTGAGCTCAAAGGAGTTTTTCAAAGCGAAGATCTCTAAGCGTCCCTTCTGAAGCCACACGTATGCACGCACGTAGCCTAAAAAGCCGGAGACACCCACGTAGCTGAACAATAGGGTTTTCTAAATATGTTAAATGAAGGTATAAGCAAACCCCTCTGCCACTTGTAGCCGACCAACTCCGACAGCTCTCTGCCTTCAGAGCCACTTGCCAGAGTTCAACGGAGGGTGACATTAGCCTAAAATATTCGATACCTTTTTTTCTGGAGACTTTCCCCACTTCTGCTGGGCTAAGTTCAGCTCCGAGCTCGTCTCTGCGGGTAAAATTGCTGTCTTTGAAGGAAAACAACAACCTGCCTGATTTTTTATCAGCAAGGGACCACGGATACTTTCTCAGAGTACATAAAGCAGAAATTAAATGATCCCGTGCCCCTGGTATAAAAAGTCGAACGAAGTCTCTCGCCCTTTTGAATGAGCCCGAAAGTACTTGCGACATAGTACGAGAAGCAAATTAGCGAGTAACAAAATAATACCCCAATTTCAAACCACAGGGAATTGGATATTGGTATCTGACAGTACCTCGGCTGAACTAGAGCGAAGCGGAGTCTTGTCCGAGCCTTTCCATTTGACGTTTTCCTCCAAACTAATTTTCAATATTGCTCCATTCCTATTACCTAACCCCGTATTCAGCTCGGCTAACGAGCCCATTACAGAACTATTTCGGCTTGCCTCCGATGCCGATCGCAGAGGACGGGCATTAATGGGAGCGGGGATCTGGGGTTGTTAAGCACGGTGGGACGGGAGGAAACCTGGGGGCTCTCTGAAGGCTCGGCTTGCCCTTCAAGCCGCGGAGATGGGTTTCTGCAAACGATACCATCTGGGTAAATTGGGGTATGAATCACCCACGCTTTATACATTAAAAAAAATAAGGAGCAAAGCTCTG